ACTTATGAGTCAATGCTTAATTTCTATGGTTTTATTAATTCATTATACTTATACATAAATTAATGCTCATTTTGACATAATCATACGTGCATGAAATATAATTTCCTCTACTTCCCAGTACTTCCTCTTTCTCTAATCTCCTCCCCATCCCAAACCCACCCCAACCCTTATTCCCTTTGCTCTACTCTACTGGTCTTCCTTCTATTTCTTTGTAGAGTTTTTAAAATGAATGCTTTATAGATATAAATAAAAGTAAAATTCACTGTAGTATATTCAAAATAGCATCATTTGTTCAGTTTAATTCTACCATTCCTTTAATTTTCTGCTTTCCTCCCTTCACTCAATCCCCTTCCTTTACTCCACTGATGTCGCTTTTGTTTTAATGTGATTCTGCTCCATCCCCACCCTTTTATTCTTTATTTTATCTAACATCCACAGAAGAGAAAAAACATTTGGTCCTTGACTTTCTAAATCTACCTTATTTCACTTATGATGTTTTATAGTTCCATCCATTTATGAGAAAATGCAGTAATTACATTCTTCTTTATGGCTGAGTGAAACTGCATTGTGTATATACCACATTTTCATTATCCATTCATCTTTGGGTAGGCACCTGGACTGGTGGGCACTGGACAATCAGTGCGAAATTGTGAAAGAATAAATGACATAAATTTTTATTTTCATGAGCAAATGAAATTATATATGTGGTTCAATAGGATGTTATGACACAGATATACATTGTGAGGTGTGAGTCACAAATTAACATATCTATCATTTCACATCTCCATTGTGATTTGTGGTAAGAACACTTAAAATCTATTATTTTAGCAATTTTAAGTATAGAATACATGGTTATTGACTATAATCAACATACTGTGTGTGCAATAGACTAAAATTTATTCCTCCAAACTGAAACTTTGTCCCCTTTACCCAACATCTCCCCTTTCCTCTTCTGCTAAGCATCATCCCGCTCTCTATTCTATGAGGTCAACAGGCACAAAATTAGAAGTTCTGTGTGCTGAGGCGTAATCTATAATAGTGATCCCATTGTTCTTGCTCCTGCCAAAGTCACGGTGAACAATCATTTCAAATGCTCTTACTCTTGACCTCCAAGACTCCCATTTTGGATCACAGTCTTCTAGAACAACCAGAAAGAAATCCCAGCTATCTGAGGTCCAACTCAACTGGCCTGGGCATAGTACAATTTGAAACTTTGAAATTTAATTATAGTTAAATAATGTAAGAACTCTTCTCTCTTATTGACACATTTAGCTTTGGACAAATACTTGGAATCAGTTTCATTTTTTACTTCAAGTGTTTCAAGCAAACAAAAAAGAACCTTGAATTTGCAGCAGTCTTCTGCATTGTTAATGTAATCACACTGCAACTATCTTACTCTGCAAGACTCAGCTAGAAATGGGCAGAAGCATGTATACTGGGGAGACAGAGGTTAGGGGTTTTGCCTGGAGAAGTGATTGTCAGTATCCTCCACCAGCAACCCAAAGGCTTCTTGCCCAAAATGGACTCTGTTCCTCTCCCTGTCACTACCGTAGCTCCTGTCCATGTGGTGGGGCACCTCTTCAGTTGGGTTATTACAGTGAAACACAGAATCCGGTTTATCCCATTGCTCTTGCTCCTGCCAAAGTCATGGTGAACAATCACTTCAAATGCTCTTACTCTTGACCTCCAAGACTCCCATTTTGGACCACAGTCTTTTAGAACAACCAGAAAGAAACCCCAGCTATCTGAGGTCCAACTCAACTGGCCTGGGCATAGTACCTTCTCCTGTGCCCACTCACCATTCTGTCTGCCTTGCAGTGCTTAGAACACCCTGTTCTGCTCTTTACTCATGAAAGACAGGAAAGAACTGTTTGAGAAGTACCTAAAAATGTTGGTAACATATCAGATAAATGACCTGATGACATTTCAATGACTTTGAGTGATTGAATAAACTAGGTGGGAAATGGGTACTATTCTATGTGGACTGACATATGAAGTTTCTGAGATTTCTTATTTCATTTATTCACTGAAAGTTAAATCTCAAGATATTGCTCTTTTAAATTATTTTCTACCTATCTAGTTAAATCACTATGATAGAATAAATCTTTTATGTTAAAAAATACTTAAAGGTTCTTAATATATGTTAATATGGGCTAAGGACATTTTTAAAAATATTTAAATAGTGTGGATTGGGAACTATCAAACACAAAAAAGATAAGAAAGTTATAATCCATACTTTTAACAAATGACACATTCACTTCCAAATACTCATAAGTGTCAAATATATTTAAACGCTTTAAAATTATTTTTGCTTCTCATTTACCTATATGACTTTTAAACATTCTGCACTCAAATTTAAGTAATTTTAAATAAATTAATTAAAATTCTTTGATTAAAATGTTTAAGTATATTCAAGAAATATCATTAAATGTGTATTTGATTTATAAATTAAATCAATTAAATTTGCAATGAATGCCAGTAATTCAGCCAATACAATAACCCTGTAGACTTTATAAAACTCAGCCACAATATTGGATGCTTCATTCTCTATCAGAATGTGCTGTTGACAACAATGCAATATTAACAAAGACCACAAGTTTTGTGCTATCCCTGTGACTTGTATTTTACATTTTTTGTTGAGTACTTAAGATTCATAGACGTGGATGTTTTACATATCATCCTCTGTCTTCTGTATCTTTATTCAAATATGTGCTTCAGAGAAATTTTGAAAACAGTTTTAAGAACTCTGTCTAAACATACCTATAGTGAGCACAAACAGAAAAGTGGAAGTTGATAGGAAGCATTCAGACTATGCTAGAGGAAGTAAATTTTAAATGTATTATAATAAAAAATAAATTTAATTCATAACTGGCATTATTTTCTTCTGAAACTACTCATATAAATCAATGTTTTAGAACTTTTCAAACATCATTATCTTTATATAAATATGAAAACTACAGTGATGCTGGAGTGGTGTCCTGTGACTTGGATCTTTCCACTGAAGGGCACCTGCCCTGAAACAATTCAGGGTAATAATGAACATCAGACAACATTTTTGTGCAAGAACATTTCTATGCCACCGACACAATAAGAACATTTTGTAGATCATAGTTTTCTATTATTTTTATATTAATAATCCACTTTGTCTTCAAACAATCCTGTACTATCTAGTAGATTTGAAAAGTGCATATACTACTTCTGCAAATCAGTGAAAAAATGAATTCTTGAATTTCTGAATCTGACTTATTACACTTAACATTAGAGTCTCCAATTACAAATGTTTTCGCTGATATACAGGAAGTAGTCTAAAATTGCAGTGGAAAAGAGAGAAAGAGAAAATAAATGGGGTGGGGAGATTCCATTAAATTGAAAGAAGGATCAGGGGCGTAGAAGAAGGGGATTAAGCGGGAGGGTGAGGGACAGGATAAGTGAAAAACCGTGGAAAGAATCTGACCTAACTTGACTACATACATATATGAATATACTACAGTGACTCTCACCATTATGGGTACTAATTTTTTAATGTAAATAAATAGAAATATCAGTAGAGTAAAGGGAAGAGGAAGAGGGTAAGTGTAAGTACTGGGGACTTAATTGAAGCAAAATATAGTAAATGCATTTATAGTCAGGTCAAAATAAATCCTAGTATTATGTAGGTTTGTTATAAACCAATAAAGAGGTACATGTAGTGCTAATGAAATATGACCTCTTTAAAATGAGACTTCCACAACAAATGTGGATTTTTCTACAATGGCATCAAAGCCTTGCATAAGAACTCTGGGCTGCTGGCATCTTGGCTCAGAGTTTTGTTCCTATATAATACACAATTCTGGGCTCATTCTGAATAACTTTCTAGAAGTTCTGTCTGTTCTTTTAAAATTCTTTCTTTCCATTTCTTCTCAGGATGCATAATGGGATAAAAACGGAGCTCTGTATAGTTAGTTTCTGGCTCTGAACAAGTCACATAAAGATTTTATAATCCTTAGAATCCGATGAGGAGACTTATGTTTAATAGAGTAGAGACAAAAACCCATATATGAGGAATTTATTTGTTGTTTTTCCTTTTTTGTTGGGGGATGCAAGGGACCAGATTCCGGATCATATACAAGCATCCCTCTACTACTAAATTAAGTAATCAGTTTTGTTTGTTTGTTTGTTTTTAAAACAGAAAATTGAACTCCTTCTTATGTAACAGGAAAATTAGTTTAACATCATGATGATGCTATCATCTGTAGAGAGAAATATCATTATAAAAATTTTAAAACAATGATGAAAATATAGATTAGATGCAAACTGGTGAAAATTTCAGGTCCATGTCTGACAAAATATCAGTTGACCAATGCATTGTCAATATTGGTGAGATCTAAGAAACCTGGAAAGAGGGTTGGAATCATCCATCCTCAAATACTAACAAGAATAGACCCTAAGTCGATTTCCATTTTCAGAAGTACACATTTCCATTATAGATGTGAGCCTAAATATATAGAAGAGAATCATTCCTTAAATAGCCTGAATAACTTTTGGAATTTTCTCTTTACATGTCTACAACTTATGATCCTTCTTTTTTAAGACATTTGTTATTCAATAAAACATTGAAACACAAAATAGATCTACAATATTGTCTCAGGAAAAGATTAAAGAAATAAATTTATTAAAAAGCATTCAACTCACCAGAATCTTTGGATAGATAAGATATACAAAAACATACTAGATAGCTTTATATACAGATAGAAAAGACTTCAGTCCAGTGCCTCCATGTGGTACAGGGAATAAAGACAAATCTGGTGTCTTCTTGGGACTAAAAACAAGTCTCAACTCCAAGAATAAGTCCACATAGTCACATTGCATAGAGCAAAAACAAAAAATTACAGTGAAAATACAGCTCAAACTGTAGAATAAAAGATAAGGGAGATGAGGAGGTAGAATGGAAGGATTAAGATTAAGAGTGGGAATTACAGAAAAAGACCCAGCAATGGGAACAGGGAACAAGGCTGGAGAGTTCAATTTGTGATTCTCTTCAAAGTTCTCTTCAGAGCAAGTTTGACATCCTTGTTCCTGAGGCTATAAATGAGGGGATTAAGCATGGGAACCCCAAAATTGCAAAACACGGAGAAGAATTTCTCCTGGGTCACAGATCCTGGAGATGATGTTTTAACATGAGTGAGCAGCCCAAATCCATAGAACAGGCCAACAGTTACTATGTGATAACCACAGGTGCTCATGGCTTTGGACCAACCCTTAGCTGAGGACATATGAAGGATATTGTAAAGAATCAAAGCATAAGAGATTACGATAATGAGGCTGGATACAATGACAACTGTCCCCACAACAACAGAGCTCACAAGCTCATTGACGTGGGTGCTGCTGCAGGACAGTTGAAGGAGGGGAAGAATGTCACACATGTAATGATTGATGACATTGGAGTCACAGAAGCTGAGCCTGATCATGCACCCTGTGTGGGCCATGGCACCTGCAAACCCCATCAAGTAAGAACCCAACATCAGCAGAGAACAGACCCTAGGGGACATGACCACCCTGTACAGCAGAGGCTGACAGATGGCCACATAGAGATCATAGGCCATGGCTGTCAGCACATAGTACTCTGCATTCACAAAAAAGCAGAAGAAAAATAACTGAGTCATGCATCCTGCAAAGGAGATGATGTTCCTCTCTGAAACAAAGCATAGGAGCATTTTAGGGGTACAGACAAATGAATAACAGAAATCAATGAAGGACAAGTTAAAGAGGAAAAAGTACATGGGGGTGTGAAGGTGCAAATTCAGGAAAATTAGAACAATTAAGCTCATGTTTCCCGGCCAAGAAAGGAGAACGCTCCAGTGGGACCAACACTGCTGCTGACAGGTAGTGGGTGGGACTCACAGTGACCTGGCAGCTAACTCTTGCAGGGGGAGGAGCCCAGTTAGCGTTGCCCACTGGAGTGAAAGTCCATCCCTGGTTCCTGGAGGGCACCCACCAAGGGACAAGACAGGAAGCCCAGGATAGGAGGTGCAACTTGGGGCAAAGGCCAGGGAGAAGCAGGTGCTCTGCAGTGGCCGGAAAGGTCCAGACGCTGAGGCCAAGGTGCTTCCTGTTACGTGCGAGCGTTTCTCTCTGTCTCTGCCAGGCACTCTCTGACCAGGGCCCGGGCATGGATGATGCCTCTTTTCAGGCGCTCCATGGCGCTCTTGTTCTTGTTCACCAAGAACAGGAAGAACAGGGGCAGCTGCAGCTCAGGTCTGTTTGTTAATCCTGTAAGGAAAAACTCTGCCACTGAGGAGTCATTTTCCATAGCCATTGCTTCTTAAGTGAGATCCTTAGAAGTCAGAGTGGAAGGCGATGTTGAAATGGACCTCAAATCTTTGACCCCAAAAGGCAAGCAGAAGCTGTTGGGTTCCAGGCTGAAGGTTGTCTACAGACATGCAGCAAGGCCTACAACGTGTATGACTTCCTGTGTTGCTACTTGAGGAGTTGCCATATCCTGCCTTCTTCCTCCACCCTTCATGTATGTCTCATCAAGGATGAGTGCTAGCTGACTTCCCAGTGTCTCTGAACATCATTTCTTCCCTATTCAGAAAAAAAACCAAACATATAATATATATATATATATATATATATATATATATGTGTGTGTGTGTGTGTGTGTGTGTGTGTGTGTGTGTGTTATATATATGAGCTGGGGATATAGTTCAGTGATAGAGCACCCCTGGAAGTAATCCCCAGTACCAAAAACAAAACAAAAACTGACCACCCAAACCAACAACAAAAAACCCCAACGAAACAATCCTAAAAATATTATAATTTTCCAAATGAATTTCATGATTGCTTTTTTTATTTCTATAAGGAATGATGCTGGGATTTTAATTGGAATTGCATTGAATCTGTATAGGGCTCTGGGGAATATGGCCATTTTGACAATATTAATTCTGCCTATCCAATAACACGAGAGATCTTTCCACCTTCTAAAGTCGTCTTCTATTTCTTTCTTAGTTCTGTAGTTTTCGTTGTAGAGGTCTTTCACCTCTTTTGTTAAATTGATTCCCAAGTATTTTTTTTTGTGTGTGTGTAGCTATTGTGAATGGGGTACTTTTCCTAATTTCTCTTTCAGAGGATTCATCACTGATGTATAGAAATGCATTTGATTTATTTATTGATTTTTATATCCTGCTACTTTGTTGAATTCATTTATTCTAGAAGTTTTCTGGTGGAGTTTTTTGAACATGAAAGGGTGCTATACTTTGTCAAATGCTTTCTCTGCATCAATTGATATAATCCTATGATTCTTATCTTTAAGACTATTGATGTGATGGATTATATTTATTGATTTCCATATGTTGAACCAACCTTTGCTTTGTGGGTTTTTATTTTAGTTAACTCTATTCTTTCAGACCATCCTAACTTTGAACCACCAGAGCATTTTTAGCAAGATTAGCTCCACATACACTGTCTATAGGAGAAGCAAGCTCTAGCACTCCTAAATCATAAAAGCTGACCTGCGGAGAAGGACTGAAGCCACTGTGACTTTGGAAACTGGCAATTTAACTCACATTAGGGCTGGGCAAATGTCCCACTGACTCATTGGGGACTCTTTTTCAAGGGCATTTTTGTTACTTAAAACTTCCCTGACTGGTCAGCAGGATCCAACTTTGCCTAGCATAAAAATGAAGAGGCTTGTTTGCACCCTGCCTCCAAGACAATGCTGTCAGTGTACTCTGTCACCAGACACTTCAGGGTTCATAATTACTTTTGTTTGTTCTGAGTTAAATAGGACTTGTTATATTTTGCATAAAGAGGAAATTTTGTGAGAAACTCTGTGGAAACACATGAGATGGCTTTGACTTCATTGAGAATTCTGATACTTCCTAGAAATGAAGAACTTAATCTGAGTTAATTAATAAAGTACAGTGTCTATCGATATGGATTCCTTTTTTTTCCCCATCAGTTTTAGTCAGCTTTGTGTCACTGTGACCAAAAGACCTGACAAGAACAATTTAGAGGAGAAAAGTTTATTTTGGCTCATGTATTCAGAGGTTCAGTCCACAGTCAACCGACTACATAGTTCTAGGCCACAGGGCAAGCAAAGCATCATGGTAGAAGAGCACAACACAGGAAAGCAGCCAGGAAGAAAGGGCACTCTGCTCACCAGAGACAAGACAGAAACCCCAAAGGCATGCCGCCAGTGACTTACGGCTGCCAGTCCTACCCAACCTGCCTAAATTACCACCCAGTTAATCCAAATCAGTGGATTAATCCACAATTAGATTATAGCTCCCATAACCTAATTATTTTGCCTCTGAATATTCCTGCATTATCTCACACATGATACTTGGGGGTCACCTAATATCTAAGCCATAACATCATCTGATATGGAAATAACAAATCCTGTATTTCTTCCCCTTAAGGTATTTTGACTATGAACTTTTGCATAAAGAGTTGCATGTACATAACAGATTTGGGAAGCATCTACATCTTGTTCTTGGATTTCATACATTTGACCTGGTTTGCTTTTCAGAGTTTCACAAATATATTAGGCTTATTCATATCTCTGGAACATTTACTCCTGCTGTTTTCTTTAGCTAAAATGCTTTTCTCACCTCTGTCTGGTAAGGGAGCAACTAATCTTTTTCAATCAACCTAAATGGCCACTTCCTCTAACAAACCTTTCCTTCTCTTTCCTCCTACCAGTGCTGAATTATTGTTTCATGATTCTTAGTCATTTTGCCTTCATCAGCCTCTTTCTCCATGAAAAGTAAAATTTATATTTCATAATTGAAATGATATAAATTTGAATATATTAATTGTATATTAAAACCTTTTTCTACCCAACAGTTGTTTCTCTTTATTTCAGAAGAAATCAAAATCTTTTTATAGGCTTCAAAAACATATCATGAATCTTGACATTGTGTCTGCTGTGAATAACAGAAAAGAGACTTCTGACCCCAAGATTTGGAACTGATGATTCTTTTGTGCTACCCTTATTCCTCTTATTTATTTTATGTTAGTGCCTATAACATATTCTTGTATTTGTTTGTGTATTTGTTTTTCAGTCTTTTCTTGAGATATGTCAGCTCTTGGAATTCTGAGTATTTGCTAGCTCATTGCTTCTAATCAGGCTTATGGATTACCTGATACAAATTAGGGACGCATAAAGAATGAATGAATGATGTGGTTTGTTCTGGTATTTTGAATCTTGAGGTACCCAAAAACTCAAATTCATGAAAACACAGCAGAGCTGGGCTACACAGGAATCTCTATGACTCTCATGTATGATATTCTTCAAAAAGACTTCTGACAACTCCTGCTTCTGAGAGAGTCGAGGAGGATGTATTCTTCTCTATTTCTCTAAGTAGAACGAGAAACCTAGAACATTATATGAAAAAAAAAACAAAACATAAAAATAGTCCTAGAGGCAGAGAAAAACCAAACTGGTAAGGACCTCAGATAATAAGGAACAACACAGTAGTGAGTTCCAGGATTTTCTTTTTATTTTACATATCTCAGATTGAGGTCTGAAAAAACTGGCAACTGCAGACGTTATTAGCAACAGACAGGACAAAAGTCCAGCAAAAGCCTAACAAGCCAGAAAACTTCTAGATAATACCTTCTTGGCCCCAGCCAAACACCACCCCTGCCAGCAAAGTCTGGGTTGTGAGCCTAGACATCGACTCTTGCCAGACTATAAATAGAGTCCTCAGACTCCTGCTATGGCCATGGCAGAGAAAGTCAAGTGGGGAGCCAGGACTTCATTTAATACCGAGCAGTAGTGAGTGTCTCTCCCTGTCCCCCAGTGACAGGGGAGAGAATGTGGGTTATCACATTCTCTGCCATTCCAATTAGCAGTAATGAGGCACCCCTCCCCCCTCTTCATTGTGTTAGTATTCAAGGAAGCCCAAGTCAGGAGTTTTACCACCACTCACCAATAACAAGGCCACCTTCCCACAGTGTCAGTAGAGGCCATATGAGAAGCAGTAAGCAGATATCTCTCCCTATCTCTAGAGTGATTTCAGTGGAGCCTAGTGGGAAGCCTGAACTTTCCCTCTGCCAGCTGTAACAAAGGACCCCTCCTCAACCAAGTATTAGAGGGACAAATGGAGATCTTGGATTTTCCTCTTCATATGCCAATACACAGTGTATTTCTGCTGCATCTGCTGGAGCTGTCAGAGGACAATCTCAAGCTGAATAGATAACCAACAGACACCAATGCCAGGATAATATAGATGTTAGAATTATCTGACAAGAATTGTAAAGTAGACATCATACAAATGCTTCAATGACAATCATAAATGTGCTCAAAACAAGTGAAAAATTTGAAAGCCTCAGCAAAGAAATAGTTTCCATTACTGTAGATTTGAAATATATATTTTGAAATCAGGAAATGGTGTCTTTGGCTTTGTTCTTTTATGTTCAAGATTGCTTTGACTATTTGGGGACTTTTCTGGTTTCACAGGAATTTTAGGATTTTTTTTTATTTCTGTGAAAAATGCCACTGGAATTTTAATAGGGTCTACATTGAGTCTGCAAACTACTTTGGGAAGTAGTCTTTTAACCACATTAACAATATTAATTCTTCCAATCCATGAACATGGGATGCCTCCCCCCTACTTTTGCTTCATCTTCAATTTTTTATATCAATGTGTTATAGTTTTCAGTGTTCAGACTTTTTACTGCCTTGGTAAAACATAACTGATGTCATCTTTTTGATGCTATTGTGAATGGAATTTTTTTTCTTTATTTTTCAAATAGTTTATTGTTAATGTGTGGAAATGCAATTGATTTTTGTATGGTGAGAATTTTTACAAGGGTTTTTTTTGTGTGTGTGGGGGGGAGTTTGGTGAAAAGAATGAGCATCTACCATACTAAAAACTGCTGAATCATTTTTAGATGTGGTTGTTCCAGGTACTCCTGCCAGCTGTGAGGAAAAGCATCTGCTGCTCCACACTGCTCAACCCTCAAGGCTATCAGACTTTTACTTTTTGCCAATTTCAGAAGTGTGAAATATCTCAGTATTGTTTGTTTTAGTTTTCTTAATCTGACTTAATTAATGAGGTTGTGAATATTTTTCATATGTTCCTTGGCCATATTTCTTCTATAAATTGTTTATTCACTGAATCTATTTTTCTAAGTTGTCTTTTCTTATGATTCCTAACACTTAATTTCATTTCATCATGACCTCAACTTTTTATATTTTTTTTTTTACATTTTAAATTGCTGTTGAAAATCTGGACTAGTGGACTAGGGATATAGCTCAGTGATAGAGCACTTGCCTAGCACGCATGAGTCCCTGAGTCCAATCCCCAG